TTCTGCTCATAATAAAGTTAGTAAAGTTAATTTTTACTTCTGTTTATAATAAAGTTAGTAAAGTTAATTTTTACTTCTGCTCATAATAAAGTTAGTAAAGTTAATTTTTACTTCTGCTCATAATAAAGTTAGTAAAGTTACACGTTGTGCAGAAACTCTGGGCTGGATTTGGACCACGTGCACGGAGGTTTGACTCACGGCTGGGCTCCGACGTCTCCTCCGATCTGCCGTCACCGAGGTTTTTCTCTGGCGGCTCCGCCTGATGAGCCGCTTCCTCCTGAACAAACAACCAAACAGTAAAAATACTTTTTTATGTTTTAACCAAAATGTTTCAATAAAAAAATTATAATAAAAAACTTGATGAACAAAAATAAAGATTTTTAAAAAGTGTTGTGTGGTTTCTCGTTGCTGCAGACCTTCTGTTTCTTCCTCAGTGTTTCCAGCTCGTACTGTTTCTGCAGCTTCTCCCTTTCCAGGGCCACCCTCTTCTCCTCCTCCTCCTCCTCCCGTCTCCTCTTCGCCTCCTCTTGCTCCTTTTGCCTTCGGCGCTCCTCCACCTGGGCCTCGATCGCTCTCTGAGGGAGAGAACGTGGAATGAGAGGAAAACTGAACTGATGGTCTTGGTGTTCCCGTTTGCACCTCCTCTGACCTGCTGCTCCTGCTGCGCGATCCTCCTCCTCTCCCTCTCCTCGAGCTGGGCAGGGTCCAGCAGGGAGGTCATGGTCCTCAGATAGCTGCGTGAAGCACAAGAACACGATACTGAACTTATCTGCAGCTGCTCCGCCTTTATCGTGGAGACAAATCACTCCTCATGGGGGGTGGGGGGGTGGGGGTGGAACAGAGGCTAGAGAAGGTGGGCCTGTGATCAAAAGGTCGCTGGTTCAACTCCCCAGACCAACAACATCAAAATGTGGGTGAGAAAGGTGAAACACCAACACCTGCCTCCACCCTCATTTGCTCTGCTCTGGTCCCTTGAGCAAGGCCTTCAACCCCCACCTCCTGCTCCTCCAGGCCCCCAGCTCCTCACAGCTCCTCACTAATTAACATATTTTAAGAAGTTTAGAAATGATCTAAATTTGGGTAAACTAATAATTTTCTTTGGTGTTTTTTGTATTTGAGGTTAAAGAAACTGGAAATAAATTGATTATTGTAGCTTTGTAACCTCGAGTGTTCCTTAAAATCTGTTTCAAGATAAAAAAAAAACGTCCTGAAAGCAAAATTAAGGGTTTTATGGGAAATCTGAGCAGTTAGGAACGAGAATTGATCTAAATTTAAAAACAATCTGTTGGACCCGTCAGGAAAGTTCATTCTAAAAGGACGTTACGGAGAAGAACCTCGCTGAGCTGATCCAGTACCTGGTTCTGGTCGGGAACCCGTTTGTAGAATCCACTCGGACTCCGACGACGCTCTCTGCTCCGCAGCTGCTGGTGGCCTCCCAGGCCAGGGACAGGCTGGACGACGGGTCCCAGTCCCCTCGCTCGGAGCCGTTGAGCCGGCCTGGAGGTGGCGCCGAAGCGGCAGGAGTTGGGGCGAGGCGCCTCCTCTGGAGCGAGTCGAAGTGCGCGGCCCAGCGGTCGTGGTCTTCTGGCTGCAGGGAGGACCACAACGTCACAACAAACAGACGCGTGTTCCCAAACCTCCCGCTCGGCTCCTGCTGCGTCCTCACCGCACCTGGCTCTTCAGGAGCTTCTCCTGCTTCCTGCGGCGAGCCGCCTCCTCTCGCTGACGATCCAGCTCCTCCAGCCAGCATCGCCTCTGCTCCTCTTTCCTCTCAATGCTCAATGACTCCTCCATCGGAGTGACCTCCTGCAAAAATAACAAAACTTCAAATATATAAAAATGTCACTCCGACAGCAGTTTGTTTGTTGCAGAAACGTTAATAATGTTCTTGAACTTCTTCAGCATGAACTTTTTTTGTGAACTTCTTAAACATCTTTAAAAGCTCTGCTGCCGTCCACTTTGATTCTTCCATGAAAAGTTTTTAATATGAAACAAACGTGAATCCCATCTGTTTAAAAACACCTGAAGTGATGTCTTCGCCGTACGAAGCGTGTGACGTTACTCAACCTCGCAACTAAAAGCTCAAGAGTAACAACAAACAGAAATGTTTTAACACCGTTCACAATGTTGTGACACTTTCATTCATTCATTCAATCTTTACTTCTACAGGTCGGTCTCATTGAGTCACGAGGACTCATGTACAAGAGAGACCAGTTTTAAACAAAGAACACAGATGAGGTACAGACAACAACAAACAGCCATAAAAAAACATATAAAATGAAAACAGAAGAAATGAAATAAAAACAAAACAAAAACAGCTACATTATAAAGCGATCTAAAACACTAAAAACAGGAACATGTCTGACTGGATGATGTTGAAAGCAGTCTGTAAAAGCTGGAAAGTGTTTTAGCTCGACAATAAACAACTGTGTCATCAGCGTAGAAATGTATGGATGCATTAGGAATGATCTGACCTACATTACTTATGTAGATTGTGAAAAGGGTGGGTCCTAAGACTGAGCCTTGTGGTACGCCATTATTGACAGTTAAATAACTGGAGGAAATATCATGTTGAACACATTGTCTCTGATCTGAGAGACAGAGAACCAACCAATGGTGTGATCTGAGAAACCGATCTCTGAGAGGTTACAACACAAGACGTCATGATCCAGAGTCAAAAGCTTTGGACAAGTGCAGCACAATAATCTTTCGCATCCAGCGCTTCAACAACGTCATTCAAAACATTCAGCGAAGCAGTCGTTGTGCTGTGTTGCTCCCTGAAAATAATAGTATACATGATTTCCCTTTCGGATTTAAAAGCAAACTTTTAAAAAAGCAAATAAATAAATAAAACAAAGTTTTGAAGCAGATCTTGTTGTTCGTCGATCTCATTTACCCCGAGTCTGAGGCTGGACCTGATGGCAGCGGGCTGGTCTCTGTGGCCGACAGAACTCTGAACCGACAACACACTCTCAGCGTACTCCTCCACCTGAACACACACACCGTTAAACACACACACGTTAAACACACACACGTTGAACACACACAGAGTGTGACGACTGAATCTAGTCTGATCTGAACGTGGCAACAAAACAGGAGGAACATTCTGCAGCGAGGGCGAAATAGAAAGTCGTACCTGCAGCCTGCCGGGGGCTGAACGCTGCTGCTTTAGAGCCACCTGCTCATCTAAAAACAAACAAAATGATGTAATCAAACATTTAATCTATAGATTATTTGAACAGAATGCACATGACATCACTGCTGTCGTTTTGTGTTTTGTAAAACTGGTGAAATATTGAAGATTACAGTAAAAAAAAAAAAAAGATAACAGCTTCTCTCCTAGTTCCAAATCTGACTGGACAAATACACAAGTATAAATATTTGTACCTTTCAGTGGTATACTCTGAAGATGTTTAAGGCAAATATAAATAAGCAAATAAATAAATGTAAAACAGGTGCTCCAGATACCAATTTTTAGTATGAAATTAATGATAGTTATCATTTTTATTATTATTTTATCTTTATTCACATTTTGGTGGAGAAATTTTATTTGGGGCAAAAAATAAAATTTTTAAATTAAATACATAACTGAAAGATAATTTTCTGTTTGCTAATTTTGCTGAATTTAACGCAGCTGTTGTTGTTTTTGTGAAACACGTCCTGATGTAATAAACAGACGCTCTTCTTCCAGCTGTGGCTCCATCACTTTAATTTCTGACTTTTAGCTGCTAAAACCAGCTGTTTGCTCTTTGGGCATCATGTTGTTGTGCTGAGCAAATACAGATTAATAATTAATCATTAATACTGATTAGATAGAGTTAGACCAAACAAAAAGAACTAAATCTCTTGAAATGTAAACATTTAAGACTTTTGTTGGTTTTATTATATGTAAGAAGTGACTAAATGTGAATGTTAAAATTATTTCCCCCATTTATTAGCATTTAAAAATGGTTTTGTGTGTGTGTGTGTGTGTGTGTGTGTGTGTGTGTGTGTGTACCAAGTTCTCTCTTCCACTGAGCCTTCTTGGCGTCCACGGTTGCTCTGCTCTCCGACTGTCGCTCCTCCAGCCAGCTGAACAAAGACCGAGATAATCTGAAAAACAAGAACATTCAACCTGCTGTGAAACTGTGAGCTTCATTTATTATTATTATTATAGAACATTTTGTAATTTGGGATTTCTTTGTTGGTTTTTGTGTCTCCATTTGAGACTTTAAAACAGAAAATTGCAGCAGAACAAAATGAAAAAGTGACGGTTTAAAGAGTTTGTACGGCGTGACTTTTCTCTTGATGTTATTCGAACAGCAGAAACGTGTCAAAACGTTCTTACCCGCTTTCTTTTTCTCGTGAGCTCCGAGCTGCATCAGAGCCTCCTTCAACCATCCGTTCTTCCCCTCCTCCTCTGTCTTCCTCTCTTATTTCTCGTCCTTCTTCGTTCACAGACGAGACAGATTCAGGGTCTGTTTGATCTCCTAACACATAAATTACACAAAGTTTGTCATCTTCCGTATCTTATTTACAGCAGGTCGGGTTATCAGTAACATCGTTACCACAGCCTTGTTCCGCCTGCTCCTCTGGTCCATTCTGTCCATTGATGGGGGTGTTGACAGTGTTGAGGATGTGCTGCAGCTCTTCACTGGTCAGACACAGCAGACGGTCCTTCAGCTCGGTGTCCACACCGACCAACGGATGCTTTAAGCCCGTTTTCCCACCACCTCTGCTGCCAGCATTCAGAGGCGGTCCTGCTTTCCCATCAACTCCCTGGACTCCAACAGTGCTGCTGAGTTTGTGTGACATCACCTTGAGTACACACACACAGTTTAAGGTTTTTGTTTGTTTTTAACTTTTCTTAGACAACTTTTTAAAAGCTATCAGTGCAGGTTCTTACCCCGTCCCTTCCTCTGGTCACTGCTTTGATGCTGTGACGGGTTTTCGATGAGGTCAGGCTGCTGTTCCTTCCCCCTGTGGTGGTTTTATTAGAACCACACGATGTAGACGTGCCTGCCACTTTGAATTTAACCTCCCTGTGACTCCCTGCTACCTGCCGGGGTGCACGCTCCTGTTCCTGTATTTTGTCCGCACAGCATGGCTGCCTGGAGCTTAGGATTTTAGCTGCTTTAGGCTTGACGGACAGCAGCTGGAAACATGATGCATAAGATCAGAAAAAAATAACAAAGTGGTGCTTTTTTCCTGTTGCTTCATTTTTATTAGAAACAAAACTGTGCTGCAAATGTGAACATGATGCAAGCAACAAAGCTGCTTATACATCAAGCTGAAAGTGATTCCTACCTTTGCTGGATTTTTCTCAACACCTGCTGTGAAAATAATGACAAAAGGTGAGCAGCTAGGAATAGATCTATATCAATAAATACTATAATAAGCGAATAACAAGTCTCACTGAAAACTCTGAACCTTTTATTTTGATTTCATTTGCATTAAAACAATATTTATGTGTAAAATATAAAATATATGTAATTGATATAATCACTACATTGATAACGACAACACCCTGTAAGAGAAGAGTAATTGCAACAGATGTAATAGTTTAATTTGTAATTCATTGTTAGGGCTGTAAAGTGTTAAGTTGGAAAGTCTCACCATGATTGAGTATAATCAATTTAGGTTTTCCATTTTCCAGTTTTAACAGCAGGCCGTCCCTGTTCAGATACAGAAAAATATTAGAGATTAAAAAAAGAGCACAATTACTTTTATCAACAGGATTCAAAAGTTTGGCGAATAATTTAAAGTTTTTTTAAAGAGTTAAAGGAAATAAATTCACATTCTAGAGCTTCGGTTTAATGTAGTGTTTAAAATTGACTTTATTTACAACGCTCTGACAAAACAATCCAAACATTTTACCATTAAATATAATTGTTGATGTTAATTTTTCTAGTTAGCTAGTTTAATCTGCACAGATTATCATGATTTTTTGTCGATAAAATGAATAAAACCAAAGGTGCGGCTCTTCTACACGTAAAGCTTAGTTTATATTGTCTATATGTTGTCTATATGTTGTTTATATGTTAATTCATTATTGGCGTGTTTGCAGTTTGGTTCCACGATAAAAACAAAAACCTTTCCTTTCCATCGCTTCCTGTTAGCCTAGCTAGCTAGCTGATCAAAAACACTCACCCGATATTCATCCCGGCAGAAATTTACACCGTAAAACCAGTGCGTCAACCTAAAAGTTTCTAACTTAATAAATTAACTATTTTCAAATAATTACTTAGTGTTAGATATGCATTTTTAATTGACTGCAGTGACAGTTACTCGGTAATTTCTGAATCAGCAACTGTGTGCGTTCGTTGCTGGTCACGACCAACAACACGGTCGCTGATTGGCTGATGAAAACAGTTTTCAATAACTGACCAATCAAAACGCTGCAGCTACACGTTTAAATTCGCCATGACGCATTTAGGGTAACTCGGAATTAATTACACAAGGTCGCGATAAATTGTTACCCACATTTTAAGAATTAAACATACTATCACTTGAAATACTTTTTTTTTAAGATTTGATAGTAAACCTTAGTATATTTTATATTTCAAAGCATGAAAAACCTGATAAAAATCTTAAAAAATTACAAAAAAGAACTACTCTGAACAAGTTATAGTTTTTACAATGCTACTTGAACTACACAGTTCATGATGATAAATTTTAATACTGCATGTACACTGTATGCTCTAAATTATATAAAAATTTATGAAATTATAGAGGTAGACTTAAATTACAAATAGTGAAAGTTAAAATTACAGCACCGAAGTTAAAAAGTAGACTACCTGTATATCTGCTTTTTTTGTAGATTAAAAAAAATCAAGCTGTTGTGACATTCTGGTACTTATGTTTTAAAATTTGTTTATTTATAGCTTTTTTTACATATATACCTGTACTTGACCTCTTAAGACAACAGAGCACGTCAATCTCAACAGAGCACTTCGCGCTCAGACTGCAGGTTTACGTGCGGTTCCTAGAGTTTCCAAAAGCAGAATGGGAAGAAGATCTTGCAGTTCTCAGGCTCCTCTCTTGTGGAACCAACTTCCAGTTTTTGTTCATGAGGCTGATACATTGTCCAGTTTTAAGACTGGGCTTAAGACGTTCCTTTTTGATAAATCCTATAGTTAGGGTTGGTTTGTTATGCTGCCTTAATCTTAGACTACTAAAGGACAAACTGACCTCATTTCCTCATATTCATGTTTGTGCTGCTGTTTGACATAATGTTTTTTATTCTAGTGCTTAGTGTATTTTAGTTTATGTTTTTCTTAGTTCATATCTTAGATGTTAATACTGTTTTTCATTTACATTTTATTGTTGGATGTAACTGGGACCCTGTGTACATAATTTCGTTACACCACATGTACCACATGAGGTGTGAATGACAATATATAAACTCTGACTCTGATTCTTGACCTGCTATTGTGTATCTGTCGTTGTTTCCTGTTCCTCTCAAACCCAGCAGGTCGAAGCAGATGGCCGCTTGTCCCGAGTCTGGTTCTGCTAAAAGGTTTCTTCCTCATGAGGGAGTTTTTCCTTTCCACTGTCGCCTTCATGCTTGCTCAAGATGAGAGTTCTGCGATGGAGCTCACTTCCGCTCCTCAGATGAATAATGTTAACTTATTTTGTATATATGAATGTTTCTGTTCAGTGCCCTGAGACGACTTGTGTTGTGACTTGGCGCTATATAAATAAACTGAATTGAATTAAGATAATTTTAGACAGTTTGGCTTTTGCAAAATATTTTAAAACATGCTCAAGACTAAAATAGTACTATAAGATGCAGTAAACATTTATTTTGTATTGCTTACATGCCATTGTTACGAACAAATAATCATTCAATGCGGATGCTGAATTTAAATCAAGTTATGTATTTTATATTTTGTATTTTATATTCTTTATGCATTTTATATTCTTTGTGTATTTTATTCCTGTTGATACTGTAAAGTGTCCTTGGGTGTCATGAAAGACGCTTTTTAAATAAAATGATTATTATTATTATTAAGCCGGTAATATTAGAATTGAAATTCCTGAAAATATAACGAGTTGCAGTCCCAGCCGTGGCCTGCAGGGGGTGCCACCGCGCCGCAGCCGCGTTGATGAATTGGAAAAAGCCAAACAGTCCGCGAGCGTTCGCTTCATGTTTTTCTCCGCCGTTAATGAGTTTTGGCATCGGCGACTGACATCCATGATCCTCCCTGGTGTCGTAACGTAAGCTTATCCACGGTGGCCTCCGTGCGGGTTTCGGGCGTCCACTCGGTGATCCTGAAGGTGTGTTGTTGTTTTTGTACCAGCTTGGTTCCATCTAACGCTGCGTAACATCGAGCCGCGACGTTAGCCAGCTAGCGTTAGCATGCTAATCTACTTAAAGAGCAGGCAGAGTCCGCCAGTGTTTTCACCGAGTCTGACGGGCAGGGCGACGTTCACAAGCTGAAACCTTACGACATAAAACAAGGTGATGTTTTATTTTCAATTTAAGCTTTTGGAAAAAAATAAATAAAAAACGCACCCGACTTTTCTAGCATGTTGTCAGGCTAAGGTCAAGCAGCTTCCCGGTCCGACAGCTAACTGATATCTGAGGTATAAACGCGTAACAATGTGGCAGCTCGCCATTTAGCATGAACGTTTTAATGAGGTAATGATTAGAAGCAGAGCTGGTGTTCTTTTATTCAACATGAAGAAGTCGGTTTTCACAACACGAGTTAGCTCAAAGCTAACAGCCCTGTGTATAATTTTAACAGTTATAAGTGGAAACCGGACTGACATGCTGGGAAAGTTGACACCTTATTATTGATGTTTGGGTTCTTAAGATTATGGCTTTAACTACCGAGGGTGTGCTGCTGGTCAGAATGTGTTTGTTTTGCCTCAATGGTCCTGATAATGCTGGTTGTGCTTATAATAATAATAATAATGCAAACTGCTTATATTTTGTTGCTTTTCCACAAATGCTTTCTCATGATGGTGCGCACCGTGTCCTTTTCAGAAAATGAAATTTTATTTTTAACACCTGTGAACGTAATGTCAGTGTGTCAAAGTTCCTGGCAAAGTTTAGTAAAAGAAAAGGATTGCAGCCTTTGAATGATTCTTAATATATCATAACATTAAAGAATGCAAATTAGAAAATCAAACATTAAAAGGTCCTGATGCTCAGTAATTAACAAAGTTGAGTCAGGTCCTCTGGATTCTTCTTCTTTGTTGAAACGTTTCAGGTCAGTCTGAGACCCTGCAGCAAACCCTGCCTTATAAAAAGCACCTTATCATAGTGGATGAACCAGTTCGCTGCTGACAGAACCAGCCGTTCACATGTAAAACAAGATCCATCACATAATGGATCGTTAGAGCCCTGATTAGGGGTGCACGATAATCGGACAGCCCATTTATCGGCCCCGATTTCCTTAATTTTGGGAGATCGGTGATTGGTCGATGCTTAAATGAGAAACCGATTTTTTTTTCTTCTAGTTTTAACAATTGTCTGAAGTTCATTTATATTTCGGAGCACTACCTCATGGCCAGTTAAAACAAGTTTGGATTGTTCTAGGATATTGTTCAAAGGTATGTTTTTCAATAAAACAATAATGGAAAATTGAAGGTGCGTTGTGACCTTGTAACACCTGACAGTGTCGCTTATTAAACAAGATCTGCAGGTCAGGCTTTTTAGAGATCGTGATCGGCCAGAAAACTGCAATCTGTGCACCCGTAGCCCCGATGGCAGCTCTTCACTGATGGCAGCTCTTCATGGGGGGCTGAGTGATACGTGCAAGAACAGAACTGTAAGAAGGTGGAAGTTTAACACAGAGGCCTCCGCCCCATTTAATGATGGACGGTTTCTCTTCACAAAGATGGATTCCTTCTCTCTCAAACCACCGTTCCTCTCTGTCGAGGATGTGCACACATAGACATAAATGCGTAGACGCCTCACTGGGCGCTGAATCGTATGTCGACGCCATTTTAGGTGTGGCGGAACGGCTACACTAATATACAGTATTTGGAAAAGAAACGGGCACCTAAGACAACATTTGTAACTTAACATTAAAAAAAATTCATGTTTGTGGTGATGTTCAATGTTTTATGTTATGAGTGCTTAGTGTATATTTAGTTGATGTTTTTCTTAGTTCATATCTTAGATGTTATTACTGTTTTTCTTATACATTTTATTGTTGGATGTAACTGGGACCCTGTGTACATAATTTCGCTCCACCACATGTACCACATGAGGTGCGAATGACAATAAAGAAACTCTGACTCTGACTCTGACTCTGAAAAGTTACAAGTGTTGTCTTTGGTGCCCGTTTGTTTTCCAAGTGTATTTGTGTGTGAATGACAGGGATCAACTTAAAACACTTTGTAGAACGGTGCTTTACGACGTTCAGTCCTTTTCTTTGCATTAGTTGACCGGCAGTTCCGCCACATTTAAAATGGCGTCGACGTATGATTCAGCGCTCAGTGAGACGTCTACATATGTACGTGTGCACATCTTGATCCCTGAGAGTGACCGCTGGCCTGCAGATGAGTGTAGACCTCAGCGTCCTGGCTAACATTAAAAGATGGTCCTGAACTATATCGAGCGGTGCTCTTTGAGTTTACTCCAGTGGTTTTCCACGTACGTCATCGCGCAATTCTGACTTGACGGCATGCACTCAATGTAAACAAAGCACTCAGTCGAATCTCGTGAGTGACCTGCGTTAGGCTGGCCTTAGTTTGGAAATCAGACAAGCAAAGAACAGAGAGTTCAGAGTTTCTTTATTTGTCATTCGCACCACGTGTAGTACATGTGGTGGAACGAGATTGTGTGCTCAGAGTCCCAGTTCCAGCCAACAATTTCCTCTGACATTTTTGTGTTAACTAAAGTGGCCACAGACGTTAACCTGCAATAAGAGTGAATCTGCGGCTGAACATCAAAGAAATGAAAAGAGATCGAGCAGATCGCTGTCCAGAATAAACACGGGGGTCATAAAGACGGAGCTTTTTGTTTTAAGTGATGAGCACGCCACGTCACTGTTCAGGATAACACGACCTGCTGACAAATCTAACTGTCATTCCAAACTTCGCTCGAAGCGTAAATACAAAACTAGACTTTTGGAAATAACGACGGAGTCCCACATGTGCTGCCTGAATGTGTCCTGTCAGCTGCTTCGCATCCTTTTCTGGCTCTTCGTCGCCGCCAGCCTCCTTCTTCCTCTTTATAACGATACGGGCGAAGCAAAGACACTTTTCATAAATGGTCAGGTGATGTGCTTTATTGGTTTAGACAACGAGTTGCAGCTGAAGCCGTGTTAAAAAAGCTTTTCTTGATCTTTATATTCCTAAAATGCCACTCTAAATAATTATCTAAGTGTTGAGTGTAAATGTCTTGTAAATTGTTTAGTGTGTGTGTGTGTGTGGGGGGGGGCAGTGTTAGTTATCATAATGGTTTTAACCACGTGTGTGTTCACGTGTTTGTTACCAGAATATCTCATGAACCACTGGATGAATTTTAATGAACCCTTCAGGAAATAGTCATCCGCAGCTATTCTTTAAAATAATAATTATAATTAAGTAATTTGAGATTTTGCAATTCAAGATGGCCGCCACATTAGCCAACACAAAAATGTCAGTTTTGCAGATATTGAGTTAAAATGTAATAATGTTGTAGCTAAGATTCAGAAAACATGAGAAACTGCTCCAACTGCACATAAATGATCTTAGTTGAAAACGAAGGAATGCTGGGTCGTTCTCTTCATGTTTAAAATGAGCAGATAATAGAGTCGGCTCCAGTTTGAGCTGAACTTGTACAAGTTCAGCAGAAACTTCAGAGGAAAACTGGATTAGATCCTGAAGCCGAGTCAACAACAGACGGAAACAAGACTTTCTGCTTTTTAAATGTGAGAACACAAGGACACGGTTATTACTTGCACTGTTGTAATCCGCCAACAGGAGACGTTTATCTTTTATGTACTTTTATTCGCTGAACAAACAAATCTTTATTGAGTTGGATCAGTCCCGTCAAAGTGAAAATATGTTATTTTGTTTATTGTTAAAGTATTTGATAATGATCTGGACTTTATTGTAAGAACATCAGTAAAACCCTGTCTTGACGTCCTTCGTTGACGTGACAGGCTTCTCAGGTTGGCGTGCGTGAGTTGTGGTCGCCGTGGCAACTCCAAGTCCCTGGTTTTCAGCGTTGAAGGAGCCGAGATGTAGCCGTGCACGTGAGTTTGGGCCGACGTGATCGGCGTCCTCACCCCGGCGAAGGTGAACGGGACGAACCGTTCTCCTGGTTCTCTGAGCATCACGCGGCAGCTGCTCGGATGCGTCCGGGGACATGGCGGCAGCTGTTTCTCTTGTTTTTGTTTGTTTTGTTTTTCCAGATGTGGTTTGTGATTTCTACGACTGACGGATGTGGTTTTGGGTTTGCTTCCCACACGACTGCGTGGCTCTGGTAAAAAGAGGGAATAAATTCATTGTACTATGTTCTTAGTTTTCTTAGTTTTTTGAGCTTTATACGTCATCCTTATGATCAATACGTTGGCCTTTTTTGTTACTTTTTCATTTTTTTATGTTCCTTTTGATTGTTCATTTATTTCCCAGGACAAAAGCGTGCGTGTCAGCATTGCCAACCTCAAGCCCTTATTCACCGTTGTTTGTCCATATCATTCTGTACTGCACGTACCGGCGATAAAACACAAACTTCTAAGACAAGATATTCTGACGACACTGGAAAAGGTCACGTTTGTGTGAAATAAATCTTTAGGAACATTTGTCCAACAGTCAGTCTGCTGTAAACTGCACCAAGGCAAAGTTTGTATTAGCTGGATCCTCTTATAAATAGATTTATGTGCAAATGTGACCCGTAAAAATGAGTCGGACTGAGCACGAGCTGCTGCCCAACAAATGTAAAAATATTAATATCTGCTGTAATTAAGTTTTGCTTAAAAATAAGTCACCATTTAGCAATCCCAGTAACTAAAACACCATTTAGCAATCCCAGTAACTAAAACACCATTTAGCAATCCCAGTAACTAAAACACCATTTAGCAATCCCATGCGAAAACCCACACAAACACGAGAAGAACATGTAAACACAAAACGGCTCCAGGTCCAACCTGAGATTGAACCCAGGAGGACCTTCTTGCTGTGGGACAACGATGCTAACCACTAATCCTAATACTACATGGGCGGCTGTGGCTGAGTGGTTAGAGCAGCCGTCCTCCAATGCAAGAGTTGGGGGTTCGATTCCATCTGCAGTCACATGCCGAAGTGTCCCTGGGCAAGACCCTGAACCTCTCGTTGCCTCCGGTGTGAGTCCCATCGGTGCATGAACGTGATAAAGCTCTGATTAATCTTTGTAGAGATCTAGTATAGAGCTGTATGAATGAGGCACAGGTTGTAAAGAGCTTTGAGTGTCTCGGTAAGACAGAAAGGTGATATTTAAGTACAGCCCATTTACCATTTAATCCATTGTGCTGCCCAATAATA